AGAGAGAGAGAGAGAGAGAGAGAGAGAGAGAGAGAGAGAGAGAGAGAGAGAGAGTCATAATGATGTCTTTCTTAATTAACTTGCGGCCTATTTAATTTCATTTGGTGTTCACGTGAAGGGGGCACTCAACCTGTGTTGCTGGCCCGACAGAAACATGGCCCGTCTAGGAGTGTTATGCGTTCGAGACGGAACGCTGATGGAGAGTTGTATGACGAGAAACTATCATGCCAGAGACCCACCTCTGACCCCTACCCATTTTAGGTTTTGCTTTAATTGATTCTAATGCTTTATTCACCGTAATGATGACTTTCTTAATTTTATGGGCGACCGCGACACAACCAAATGAATTGCTCTTTTGCACTGTTTGTTCTTTTAGGCGGGATAGCAAAGGAGACGTTGTAGTAGTCCGCGCAATGAGATGGACACGCTTGGTTTGATTTATCCAACTGCGTGGTTGGAGACACCCAAATTGATGAACTGAAGATTGGGACCATCGCTGTCGTGAAAGGGGGTCACTGTGAAAGGACCAACCCTTGGTTAACCCCCAACCATGTCTACGAGACGCAGTTGAATGGGTTGGTGAACATGAGGTGCAAGTGGGATTAGGAACTAAACTTTTTTGGTCAGGAAAGAGACAACATTTTCCTATGTGTTGCGTTGAATAACAGCGCACATACCAAGGCTCGAAGAGAAGGAACCGGACCCCGAAAAAAACTTGAATAACTTTCTCAGTGATCCACAAATACTCTTTAGTGACCCCTAAGAAAAAATATGCATAGAAGCAAGCATTAAGCAACTTCTTCAGCAGTCGAGGGAACACTGTGAATTCGACAATATTCATCCCAGAATAAAAACTGATGAGGGATAGAAGGATGGCAGAAAAAGTGGGGAAACAAGAGATAAAAGGTGAAGTGATGCATGATAAAGAGGAGGAAGAGGCATGAGAAAGGTTTCGGCAAATTCTGGGGGTGGGGTCGAGAAGAGGGATTGGGTGGAACGAGAAGCAGAGGTTGGAGAGGAACGGGTTGGGTTGGAGGAGAAGGTTCAGGAGAAGTTTCAGACGTCTTCTCCTAGAAAAGGAAGGGGGGGCTGCTTAAGAACTCGCTTCATCTTCGGACGGCAGAGTATCCTCGTAGCAGAAAACGAGAGTACCATGGTAATCAGAAGAGAGAATGAATCTCGCGTAGGAAGGACGAGTGCTGAAAGGCTGACCAGGTCTGAAGAGATAATCAGGGATGAAACCATAGGCTCTCTTCCTCATAAATCTATACCAGGAACCTGGACCCCAGGCGAATAATTCGGGCAGATGCATGGATTCGATTGCAGACAGAGATAGGGAGTTGAAGAAATCAATGAAGAGTGAGGAAATAGGGACGACGAAAAGAGAGGAAGAGGCTAAGTTAGGTATATTTTCTGGCAAATTGTGTAGACCATTATTGACCTAATTAGAGTGGAATCTTAGATCTAGCGTTTGTCAGACGCAGAAACAGAAAAACAGTAGGGCCATATCGTTAGTGAATCCTTCCTTGAAGACGTGAAGATCAATCTTCACTTTGATGAGTCCCTTGGAGGAAAGATCAACAAGTCTCCTGCTGTCGACAGAGAGAAGGCCAAAGATGATTGGGACGAAGAAAGGATGGGACAACGATTCTGCCGCACGTTTCCTCCGGAGTACTAGCAGAGTCCTGCTGCTGTTTAGAAAAGTGAAACCCGCCAGGGAAGAAGCGAAGTCCAACAGGTTGTCGATAGTAGTAGGAGCAGAGTAACAAATCTTCACCAAAGCCTGCTGCAGTTTAGAGAAGGAACGAGGTGTGATGAGAGGAAGAAGAGCAAGATGGAGAGGAAGAAGAGATGCAGTAGGGGAATCAAGAACAAAGATACTCTCAAGACGTGAATCAGAAAAAAAAAGGAGTGAAGATGTCATGAAACTGTGGTGTTATGTGATCCTTGAACTGACCAAGGAGTTCCTCTGTGGGCGGGGGTATCCAGAGAACGAAGGTTGATGCTGGCGAAGAAAGTTGGATTCTAAGAGGGGATCGTAGAGGGGCAAATCCAGTCTTCGTGGAGACTGGAAAGAAGGATCCGGGGATACCAATCGAAGAGGGGGGCGCCTGGTTGGGGATGGCAGACCTGCAGGGGATGAAGGAGGAGTTGAAGGATGAGGGGAAGAAGGAGGAGGACTGCAAGGAACAACGGAAAGGGGGGAGGAACATGTTCTAAATGAATGAGAGTGCGACGGGAAGGAGGGAGGGCTGGGGACATGATGGGGACAGATATGAGAGAGAGAACCTTCACCATCATTTACAGAATGGGATCTCATGGAGATGGTCTTACCGGATTGACAGACCAGATGTGCGACCAGACAGACTGATGGCCTGAAAATAGTTGACCTTGAGCGAAGAGCAACGGATGAATGCGCGACGCCGACCACGGAGTAGATGACCTTGAGCAGAAGAAAGAAGGTAGAGATGGAGACTGAAAGTGATCCATTACGCTGCGATGGAAGGAGCAGCCCCTCGCCAAAACTTAGGTGAGGAGAAAGACTCCTCCCCTTCAGTGATGCTGACTGCCTCCCCTTCAGTGATGCTGACTGCCATTGCTGTAGGTGCAGGTTTGCATACGGACTCCAGAAGGCACGGCATGGGACGGATCCCAACTTGCTGTGGCTGTAGGTGCAGGTTTGCATACACCGAACGAAGATACATGCTACTGCACTCTGGATACTGGATACTGGATCAAAAAGTCGCTGCCGCTGCAGAGGATCCACGGCTGAACAGAAAGTCCCAAGAGTCCCGTCACAACGACAGAAAGTCCCAACAACCGAAAGTCCCAAGAGTCCCGTCACAAGGACAGAAAGTCCCAACAAAGAGAACCGTTGATAACCGTACGAGACGCCTTGGCCGACCATGAAGTGACCAACCCGGGCAACTGAAACAGGACAGTTGCTGAGTAGTGGAGCATCGCCCTTAGCCTTACCCGGTTCTTTTTTACCGCGGGGCTCGGCCCTAAAGGCCTCGCCATACGTACGGCACCAAAAGAGTACAGAGGCTGGAAAGATTCATCTACTATGGGTTGCAGCGAAAGTACGTTGCCACCACCTGTGAGCACATTCAGCCGATGATCAGTGACTTCATTTGATCCGCTTGCCGACGCGTCCGGCCGATCCGCTGGCTGATTGGATGGAGTTCTTTTGACAGTTCACCTCCGTCACGTTTGTCGGGGGGCGAGTTTGAAGAAGTCGAAGCTCGGCCTCCGGCCGCTGCACAGGTCTAAACAGAGCTCGTCCTCTGACAGGCAGACCGATAGAAGTCTGTACTCGTGGGTGCATATGCGTATGCGTGTGCGTGTGCGTATGTCACAGAGAGACACAGTGTGTGTCACACACACACACACACACACACACAGAGAGAGAGAGAGAGAGAGAGAGAGAGAGAGAGAGAGANGAGAGAGAGAGAGAGAGAGAGAGAGAGAGAGAGAGAGAGAGAGAGAGAGAGAGAGAGAGAGAGAGTTGTCGTTTTGTTGTTTTGATTTACCGATGGCAACTACGTTTGAGGATGGAGAGGTTGGGCTGGAGGAGGTGCAGGTTCTGGAAGGGCATTCCGACCGGGTATGGTATGTTGCCTGGTCCCCTGACGGGCTTTCTCTGGCATCCTGTGGCGGGGATAAAACGGTTCGCATATGGGTTAATCATGGAACCGAGCGAGAGCCCCACTGGATTTGCAAGGTAATCACCTCATTTCTTTTCCATTCGAGACAAAAAAAAGGGAGCCAATTTCCTTCCCCCTTCTCCTTGCTTAGGGCATACTCACACTAGGGCTTGTATTATTGAGCCCTGGACTTGATTGGAGTCAGATGCATCCACCTCTGGCGGTAATCGCAGTCAGATTCATCCAAGAAAGTTGCTAATGCGAGTATGCCCCTACTCTATATAGTCTGGTGTTTCACTATCTGTGTTTCTTGTCTTTGGCCTTTTTCCAATTCTCTGGGGACGTAATTACGGTCGGGTGCATCCGTGCCGGGTCGGAAAAGCGGCCATATACATCCAGGAAAGTCCGAGTGCGAGTATGCTCTTACTATCTATACGTTACCTCTTCTCATCTATACGCTGTATATAAATACCTCTACTTATCTATTCGTTATCTTTATTCTTATCTATGGGTAATTCATTAATCTTGCATAATGTCTAACTATATACGGCTCATCTGTTCTTATCTATGCCGTTTCTGTATTCGTACCTATTGCTAATTAATTAATGATGTCTATACGGTATCTGTTCTTATCTATGCGCTTTATCTTTATCTGTACTTGTCTATACACTTTATCTATATTCTTACCTATCTGCATTAATTAATTAATCCATCATAGTGTCTATACGTTATCTGGCCTTATCTATCCGCTTCGTGTGTACTTAGCTATACACTTCATCTATTTTCATTCCTCTCTGCACTTAGTATGTACGCAGTTTATATCTTTACACTTATGTTTGCGTTCTGTGTATTCCTTTTCTGTTTTTTTTTTTGTTGAGTGAGGATTGCTCCTTTCTATTTGTGGGAAGCTGCACTTGCGATATCTGTATTCTTACGTGTGGCTAATTAATTAATCCCTTATAATTTGTCTATATTCGTCTGTTCTTATCAACGCGCTTTATCTATACTTAAATATGCGTTATCTGTATTCTTACCTATGGCTAATTAATTCATCTTTAATCATGTGTGCACGTTGTCTCGATTGGGATACCGATTAGTCCCGTCATTCGACCTGCTCCCTTTTCTCGATTGGGATACCGATCAGTCCCATCATTCGGCCGTACGTGAAAACCCCGCAATTTTAACTGATACATAAATATGTTCCGATTACACCCCCTCCCCAAAAAAAACGTTTTTTTGATTTCTTTGGGGGTGATGGGAATTATGAATCTATCCGTTGTAATTGTAGGCTTTTGACATCCGGTCGAATGATGGGAGTGGTCGGTATCCCAATCGAGATAGAGAGGAGGTCTGGAGGTTACCGGCCTAGAGATCAGTAGCATGTGAGTGCGTTTGCGTTCAGCTTTAGGGGCCTCGCTCCACTACACAAGAACACTATACATGCATTTGGACGCTTTGTGGACCAGGTGCATGCGGATGAGTCAAAACATTTTGAATGCATCGGGTCCAGATGACGTCCAAATGCATGAAGAGTGTTGTTCTGTGGAGCGAGGCCCTATACTTGCATTTTCGTGTGCGTTTTCATATTTACATTGTTTGTTCTCTGGTTCATATTTACCATTTATCTATATATGTATATATAAATAATACTTATTCAGGCTATTATTCCAGTATTAGATAATGCCTTTTTTTTTCCTTCTTAATCTAGATTTGTCTATATTTATCGTACTTGCCTTTTGCAACGGATGTATCTTATGCACTCTTCTTTGCATTTTCTGAATCCAGTATGATTTATGCGTATTTTATATTTCACACAAGTTTACATGTATTTGATTATCTCTTGTTTTTATCTATATATTACTTTTCTTTATCTTATTTGCGTATTTTTCTACTTTTGTAATTCTGTGTTCTTGTATTTTTATATTTGCCTTTTACGTACATGTGCACTTACTAAGGGCCTCGTCGCACCACTCACGGGAAAAAAAAGTTGCGAGTGGATCTTTCCGCTGTAGGTGGCGAAAAACATCCGTTGCTACGAATAGTAAAGGGTGAATCTAGCCATGTTCTGAAGGAAGATGTACGAACTTTCCTGAGTGGTTATGCGAGGCCCTAAATCTTTGATCGAATTCATCAAGCGCTGCGCGTGTCAATAATGAAAAACCTGTCGAGATCTCTATTGGGTTTTTGCACGAAGGGATGGTAAAATGAATGAATGAATGAATGAATGAATGAATGAATGAATGAATGAATGAATGAGGTAACAAACGATCACATCAATCAATCAGGTAACAATCAATCAAGTTAATCAATCAATCAATCAAATCCATCCAATCGATCAATCAATCAATCAAGCAATCCAATTGATCAATCATGGTCTGGAAGAAGAACATTCACCTATGGAAAAAAACTCGAGTATAAAGGTCTCGATTTTTTTTCTTGTTTGTATTTATATAGGATTTACAAATAAAAATATTATACAGTAAATAACACTTTGAAATTTTGTCAATAATTAAAAACCAAGAAGTGAGCTCTTTTTTTAAGAAAAAAGTTTGCCAGAAACATTCCGTCGGCAAGATCGAGCTTCTTGCGGCGTCGACCTCCGTACCTGGTTTTTCGATGGCAGCTCTACTGTAGCGTCTCTCTCCCCGAACACAACACAGTGTCATCTTCACCGCATCTTATGGTTCATGAGTGAGTTGCATTCGAGGGAAGACGATAGTATGCTTCCCTGTCCTTTGCATCTCTTTTTTTTTTTTTTTTTTTTTTTTTTTCTGTTGTCAGAAAACTGAAGAGATGGTTCTGTGGACTTAGTACTGTTTGAGCGAGCTCTACCTTCTTCCTCTGAACACAGCGCCCGCTCAATCAGTCTGTATCATGGCATGGAAGTTGCACAAGTACATCAGCTAGAATGACCAGATCATGTCATTGATTGGACGAAGAATTACCGTGTGGTGTCATCCTATCCTGTTGGCGATGGCAATCATTCGCTGGGTTAATTCTATTTTTTTTTTACCGTAATTAATTATTTAGCGGTCACTGCGTCCCACCCGTTGATGTATCCGCCGGGCAGTCTAGGTTCAATCAATCTACTCGTAGTGAAAGGTGAAAAAGCATGCAGTCTTTCCTTCGGGACATCACATCACATCCTGGTGATAGGACGTGCAATGGATCTGGCTCGTCAACTGACGTAGCTGTCCTCCATCTGCTACCTTCTTCACCCGAATACAGCGTATGGTCATTATTGTGTATTTAGACTGAAAGTTGCCCCAAATACAGCTATGGAATGGATATGGCTTGTCATCTGACGTAGCCGTCCTTCATCTGCTACCTTCTGCACCCGAATACAACGTATGGTCATTATTGGTGTATCTAGACTGAAAGATATCCCAAAATACAGTTATAATGACCGTACGTTGCATTCGGGTGAATACGGTAGCAGCCAATATAGCATGAACATCCATAATGCAAAGGTAGCAATCAGCTTGTTTAACCTTCTCCCCCTCTCCCTCTCCCCCTCTCCCCCCTGCCCCTTCCCCCTTCGGCTCCCCCTTTCCCCCCAGGTTAACAGGGATCCCCACCCTGAAATTTCCTAAGATTTCTGAAATTGGAATGTTGGTGAATTTGCATGAAAGTGCACTTTTGCCTTGCTGTTGTACTTTTTTTTTTTTTTTTTTTTGATTTTTTGCAATCAGGTAGTGTGGTCTCCCCTCTATGAATTGGTTGCAAGTTTGGTTAAAATGACCCTTGACTTTGATTATAAATGGCATGACAAATTGTCTGAAAATTTAGGCCTCCGTTATACCATTTGCCTGCCACCCACCAAATGCGCTGGCACGCATTTGCTAGCACGCATTTGCGAGCACGAACACTTTCCTGGATGTATCTGACTGCAGTTACAGCTGGTTCTGGATGTATAGGGCCTCAATTACGTGCATAGAGCAGTAGAAAAAGTTGTAGTGCGAGTACGCCCCAAGTAAGGCAATGGGCTGAGTGGAGCGGGTGGTTTTTTTTATGTTTTTTTTTTTTGGGTGTTTTTTTTTCGTTTTGTTAATTTGGACCATTTCTCGATTTATGCGTGTCATCCTTGCGCTCAGGGGACATGCTAATCTTCTTTGTATCCCCCCGCCAAAAAAAATCTCCTCTGTGGGCACGGTTCCACTAGCACACAAGTCAGGTCCTATTAGGACCTGTGCGGCACTGTAAGAAAAGGAAGAAAGTAATTTTAAAGACTTGAAAAAAAAAAAAAAGGGGAGGTCACATTTCCCAAGATGGGAAGGAGGCAGACTTTTGAAAGTGCTGCCGTCCCACTAACCCTCCCGTCTCCTACCCCTGCTCCCCACCCAGCCAATGCCTAATCAAGACAGAGTGGTACGTGACTGTTGCTGTCCCGCGTACCACCACGAGGGAGTCCCTTCGTGTGCCTGATGGGACTCCCTTCTCTGACAGTTGCCATGCTGAAGCCTGCAGTTCATATATTTTGAGAGACAAATCAAGTACTGGATGGGGTTACAATTGAACCATGCCCTTTGAGTACTTGATTTTTTGAAGAGCTGCCAATCAAAATGAGTCTTTCTATTTTCTTTTCCGCCTCCCATTCTTGGGAACTGAAAAGAAAAAGCACACAAAAAAAAAAAGAAACACCACTTCAGAATATAAATCCATTGCAATTTCTCTGCCAGCGGATTCTCCTGCATCAGTGGTCAGACCATGTCCCGCAGATGTCCCATAGGTGTTTGTGGGACACAGTTTACCTTACTCCTTTGCTAGTGGAACCGTGCTCTGTATCGTTCCAATTTTAACGGATGTCCCGAAGGACAGAGCGGGTCTCTCTTTTCTTTTCCTGCTTCTGGAAATTCTTGTAATACCGTAATAATATCTGAAAAGTTATGAAAACACCCAACATTCGTGTCATCCAGTCGTATCTCAAGAACTGGTCCAAAACAAGCTTAATAAAAAGAAAATCCAACATTATCCATTCCGTTATTTTGTTCTGTTGTTTTATTGCAGTGCATTTTGGACGAATCCCACCAGCGGACGATACGTGCATGCGAGTGGTCCCCCTGTGGCAGGTACCTGGCGACGGCGGGGTTTGATGCGAAGACCGCAATTTGGGAGTCTGCAGATGGAGCAGAGTTTGAAATGACCACTGTCTTGGAGGTGAGAACACTTTCCATCTCTCTTTCCTTTTTTTTTGTAACATCAAATACTGAAACATTGAACTTTTTGTATTGGCGAAGAGCCTTGTGAGCTACCAAGCTTTTTTTTAAGTGCAAGGAAAATGAGTGATAGCAAAATGACGGAATTCCGAATTGCTAAATCACATTGATAGTCGTAAGCTGTCCAGAAAGCAGAAATGCGCTGTTATCACACCGAAGGAGAACCAAAGCAGCGAACTCAATGTGAAAGCCCTCTCGTGCCACCATCAACAATGTACACCAACAAAGTACTCTTTCCTTCTACTGGCGCTGAACGCCTATTCAAATGACAAAGCAACCAGTTGATGTCAGAAGCAGCAACCAGAGCACATTCAGATGTCGGTCATGCAGACCTCCATGACGACCACGTACCTGCTCTCACATCACCTCCCCACTCGCCCTCTCTAGGCTCCACCCTCATCTCTCCACCCACACCTTCCACCTCCGTAGGGCCCCCACCATACCCTGGACCATGCAGCGCCCTCACTACTACCTGCGCCCGCATGCGCTCTGTTGCACAAGCGCCCAGTGGCCGATGCTTCACGATGCAGCAGTGCTGCCGCCAGACTTGCAAGTGCCCGAATGCCTCGTCCGTTGCCTGGTGCTTTCCTAAACGGAAAGTGGCAAGGCACAATGGCTACCTATACTGGCTCGCGCGCGCACCCAGTAGCTTCACTTTGGGCCAAAGTGTCTGCCCCCAGGCCCATTCAGACAGTGGCGTAGGCTCACGGCAGTTAGGTGCGGAACCAACGCACGCACAGTGAGATGTCCCGTGCTTCCTGATTGGTCGAGAGGCCAGCTTCCAAGTCTTAAGTTGAAGAGCCTAGAAGGCTCACAGAAGATTCTGATGCTCGTGAGCAGCGCACATGTAACCAACTAGCGTGTTGTCGGTGCAAATATCCTTACAAGGGTATTTGCCCATGTTTTTACGGCCCGCATGAGCCACATCAGTAGTGTAGTGGCACATTCATTTTTGTGCAGCCCACAGCCGACTCTCAGAAGCCGCAGCCTTGAGCGTGCGTATGATTAGGTCAGAGAGTGTGTGGGCGTGCACTTTTGGAACGTGCGTTGATCCTTCAGATGTGTGTGAAGTGCCCCGTTTAGGCAGCAGGGACCAGCGATTGTTTGAAAGCAATACGGGCCGGGGAAAGGTCAGCCCTTGAGTATGGCTGCGCGCACGCAGTGCGTGCGCATAGAAGTCAACATTGTTACAGTCAATGCAAAGGCTGACCGTCAGTACCGCAGTTGAAGGTAGCTACCACTGACCTATTTCAGACGGTGAGTGAGTTCGCGTTCCGTGGAGAGTTTCGGGTGCCTAGGTTGATTGTGTTTTGGTTGGCGGTAGAAGCCGCCAATGATCCTAGCAGGAATTGCATAGGAAAAGGGATGACATAAGTAAAGGTCGGAGCCTTCTGCCACCGAGTCGTGAAGGTGCGTCCTTTATTTCCCTCCTCTCATTATTATTATTTATTATTTTATGATGATTTATTATTTTTCTTTATGTCCCATTTTTTTGGATCCAGGTCCGGTACCGGTTTTGGAACCGGCAATAGGGCCAACGGGCCTAGCTCAGTTGGTACACCCATGGACTATTGGAATACGGGCCTGCGTTCAAAGTGTGCTGGAAGCAGTTGAGTAAAGTGCTGGGGTTACGATTTACCTGGGACCGGTCATTTGATAATGATATCTCGGGGCCGTACCCTCGACTTGGTCCTTCGGGACATCAGTTAAAATTGGAACGATGCAGAGGAGTTGAGCATGGCCCGTGCGTAAGAATGACACATATAAATCGAGGAGGATGTGATCTCTCCATTTTTTCTGTAGGCATTGATGCTCTCGGTTGCGTTTAATTTTGTGTTCATCGTGCTCATCAGCAGACTGTGGATGATATCGTTGTGGTGATCTTAGTCTCCATAGTCATAGCAGTCGGACCTCGTCACGCTCGAGGCCTGAACTTTGGCGATTTAATGTTCTCCTTGGATCGAGCCTGGCTGTGCTTAGAGGCCAGGTGCATTCATGTGACTGAAGGCGGCACGCTGCGCAACCGAGAACGAGTGGGAAGGCGGTATGGAAGTTGAGATCAGAGGAAGGGGGGCTCACCTACGTTGTGCGGCTCGCTGCACAAGACTGTGATGCATCTTCCCATCTTCTAGGGGAAGATTCATTCTCATTTTGCACGCTTGACGAGCAGCGGAGCATGGCCTGTTGTGGCATACTCCCGATCATCATCGTGATCGCCATCATCGGGATCCTGGTGTAGACCATCACGATCGTAATTGAGCTGCTCCTCTTCGTCACTGGAGTGCCTGTGTTGCTCGTCCTAACGGTCATCTTCCTGGTGGTTGTCATTGTGCGGCCATAGCACAAGTCATCAACGAGATTGCGTTGATCGTTGCGCTCTTCATCGTCATGGTCCTGGTGGTGCTTGCCTTCATGCATGTCATGGGGAGGCGTATCTTCGCCGTGGACATTAGCGGATTTGTTTTCATCTTGGTGGTTGTTGTCGTTTGCTCGTGATTATCGAGGTGATCGTCACTGCTGCTCGCCTTTATTTGGGAAGTCGAGCCTGTCTTGCTCATCATCTTGTTCGTAGTACTCTTCGCTATCATCGTGTACGTAGTGCTCATCTGTGCCATCATGGTGGTGGTTGCAATTGTCGGGATTGAGGTAATTGGTGATAGAATAGGAATGCTGCTCGTGGCAGTCTTGCGAAGGGTCGTATTTGTTATCAGGACCTGGCTAGCGATTATCGGGCTTCTCTTGTCTGCCCTGCTTGCTGTGCCCGTTTTGATTGAAGCTCATGTACCCGGTACACAATGGACATGTTCGGGGGGGGGTCTGAACAGACTAACATGTTATCTTATTCACAACTACCTTCGCCCGAACAGGTTCTTCCTTTTGTGGGTAGTTTTTTTTTAATGATTTTTTTCTTTTTACTTCAATTTGACAAAGAATTTAAAGATGCCTCCGAGGCAAACGTTGTTTGTGTTATTATTTTACATAGCTATATGTTTTTTAACAAGGGATCTAGTGTTAACTTCAAAATTGCTTTACTGGTCAATATACTTTTGAGAAGGACGTATAGTCCTATACACGAGTATTCACCAAAACTGTTTTTTTTTACAACTTTTGAGTTTGCCTAGTTTATTCCTATTATGTGCAACATTCCTATTATGTGCAATAGGTGAATTAAGTAGTGGGCGCAAAAGAGGAATAAGTGTGTGATTGGGAGAGGAGAAGGGAGAGGAGATACTTACCTGGTAGTAGCACGGGAGGAGTGCTGCGTGCGTGTGGAGCACAAGAGAGAGAGAGAGAGAGAGAGAGAGAGAGAGAGAGAGAGAGAGAGAGAGAGAGAGAGAGAGAGAGAGAGAGAAGGGGAAAATCAAGGGGGTAACTCATCGCTATTGTGTTGCCTTTTGTGACAATCGTGGTCGTCGTTTTCAACACAAGTAATCACGAGGTGCTGCGCATGGTGTTCGTCGTGGACGTCGTATTCCTCATTGTGTTTGTCGTGGTCATCATCAGGGAGCTGCTGCTGGTGGGGATTGCACTACTGCTTGGAGTCGCCATCGAGATCCAAACGCTGCTAGTCATCCCAAGCGCTGCCTTGACCATTATGGTGGTCATGTCTATTGTGCGATGCATCTGCCCATAACTCAGTGGTAGATTCATTTTTGATTTGCCCAGTATTGAGCATGGTAGCAAGTGGCTTTGCTGGGAATGTATCTTCGCAGTTTTAAGCGGAAGATTCATTCCCATCTAGTGCATGTATCTTCCCATGTTCTAGCGGAAGATTCAACCTCATTTCGCATGTTTGGTGAGTGGTGGAAGGGAGGTCACGATTGTGGTTATGTTCGTTCGTTTCGAGTTTTGCCCGTCTCCTCTAGTCATGCAATTCCCATTGTTCTCTTCGGACGTGTTAAATCCCCCTCGATGAGAGAGACTATCGACTGCGTGACCTCCATATCTACTTGGTCACTGCTGCCTTCGTCGCACACATAGACGTTTCCTCCCATACAATCGAGATGACTTCCGAATTGACCTCTCCTTCACCTACAAGGCACTATACCCGGGAGCGGGGTTGTCGTGCTTACCACTCGTCTTTCGCCCAGAGTCGTGGCTAGAGGTGAATAAGAGAGGCGAGGCGATTATTGGGGAAAGTTAGGAGGAGAAACAAGTGAGAGAAGGGAAACGGGGGAGAAGTGATAGAAGACTTACCTGTTGAGAGTGGATTCGTAAGGGCATTTGGCCATCCATGCTAGTAGAGAAAATGTGTTCCGTTGAAGTAACCGATAGGTGCAGATTAGAGAAGGCCGTTAGCTGATCACAACAAGGCGAGCCGTGGTCTGTATAGAAGTTGGTGTGTGTTTATGGTGCTGATCACACGATGGAGCCGACCTTAGCCTGAGTTCCACTCTGTCACATATCCAAGGTAACAGTTACAGTGATATGCAGACTTTTATAGTTTCGAATCAGGTGCTGCTATTTGGACAAGGTGCAGTTGTGTCCCTCAGACTGGCACAATTGCAGGTCCGCTTAGTCGTACCTGTATGCTGTTCTTTTTAGGCTGAGGCTCCCGCAGCTTCTTCTGACTGGGGCTGCTGAAAAGTCTGATATTGTGGGTATTGCGGGCCTGAAGCCCGCTTGAAGCTGTTGCCGCCTCGGAGTCGATGTTGGAGAGTTGTTTAGGGGAAGACTGCGATTTTCAGGGGCACTACTGCTATTCTCTTTGACTTCGATTGCTGCTGATCTGGAGGACTGCTGTTATTACATTTTTTTGGCATCACTCTGGGACTGTTGTGTGTTCAAATTGCGCTGCTGGTGTTTGCAGCAGCAACGAGCTGCAACTGGGTGTTGTTGATGCTGCTACTAAGACTTGGGGGTAATCACTTTTGTTACCAACTTGCGGGGGATTGCTGGACTTCGAATTCCTTTTATCATTCTGGTTGATTGACCCCGTAA